CTGAGAGCAGCTGTCGCTTAAGACCACTTTAAGAGTAATCAGCCATATGGCTGAAGCAAGAGACTAATAATATTTGAGTTGTATTTCCATCAGATTAAAAGTTAACGTAATAATTTATCCTAATAAATGACACGCATGCTTCAAGCCTTTAGCCGCAGAAGAACGAGACGTGAATATTTCTGAGAAAAATGATTTGGTAATAATTTTGAACTGATAAAATAATACTTTTCATATATAATTTTTTCCTTGTCTAGCAGTCTGCTTTTAGGAAGCTTAGCTGAATGTCTGGATCACAGAAGACTCTGACGGTAAGACAATATAAATCTGGCAGGTGGAGCACGCTCAAGAATCGCAGGCGATCGGTGAAGGAAGCGCCATGGATGGAGAAAAAACGAAGCAGTTCCGCCGAACGTCCTCCAGTGCCAAGTGCCCAGGCCGATGAAGAGGAATCTGCAATGACAAAGCATAACGAAAATGAACAGGAGAAAAATCGATTCAGAGAGAAAAAGATTCCCGGGGATGAGCATCCGTTCCATTTGGTCGTTTTGGAGAGAGGACGCATCAAAAGAGAGAATGAAGCCGACAAATCAGCGATGGACGTCGAGGAGACTAAAAAGTTGTTCAAATTTCTGTGGACTAGTCCTGACAAAAATGAAACTGCCCTCTGACTTTGAACTTGGTCTGATGCCGACGGTTTGAAAATGTCGCGAACATTCGTCACTCCATAATTAGCAGACTGCTGGAAGGAAAATTATCGCCATCACCGCTAATTAGTGATCACCTTTTGTTGCACTTTACTATTATGACCAAAGTATGGAATTTGCAGAAGTACATTGTAATATAATTTCAGTGTCGTCTTGTGATTGGTATCATTAACCGCCGAAAAAATCATTTTCAAAATAATTTTGAAGATTAGGTTATTAGAGCGAACCTAAAACGAATTTTCAGAAAGGAAACAAAATAATCTAAAATGGAAGATATTCAACGGACGAATCAAATTCCAATACTTCGACCTGTATCTCACAAAACTTTACAAAAGTAAATGAATCAGTCGGTCATTGACGTTTATGACCCTTAGCTCTAAGGTCAGAAGCTCTCAGACACAGGTCAGGGCTTTCCTTGAGTAAAGTATCGTTGAAACTACCATCTTTCCTTTACTGGGGATTGATTTTAAACGCTTCCACCAAACTCCGGTCCATCATCGCTAGGATCCCTTATTTATATGTGAGTGAGTATTCCTGTCGCACTGAGAGCCCGCTGCTCATGTCGCAAAGGGCCATCTCCGGTCGAATGAGTTAGTGAGGCCGGAAACTGGTCATTGAACGCTATCGACAAAAACGCGTCTGGATTTCGACAGACTGGTTGAAGAATATGGGGTTAATATGGTTATAGTTTACTAAGATTGGCATCCTGAATGAACTCTCCATGAAGCTCGCCAAAAATACGCCATGCATGTAACAATACAGGGGTGGTAAGTACAAGCTACCACGTCGGAGCTTGCAAAAATCTGGAATCGTTTGCGACCAGGTAATGGATAGGGCGCGACTGGCAAGTAACAAACGGATATAAAGATCTTCATGACCAGAACTCGGTCATCAGATGCGATAGTTGGCAGTTAAATTACCGAGGGGAAGAAAATCAAGAGGAAAGTTCTTGGACGTGTATGCAATCCGAAGATCCGTCATATTTATTGCACAGTCGAACCACAATGGTCAAATATTCCTTATGAAAGCATGCGAAAACCGAGCTGAGACCGGCGGCGTAGG